AGAATAATGTGATCAAGTAGGTGTCTATTGCTCATGAGTTAATCAGGTTCCTGGATTTTTAAAAAAAGTGCAGCTGTTAGGACAGAGAAGCTGTTGTGCAGTCATCTGGAAAAAGCACTGGCAACACAGGATTCTACTTATTTGTAGCATCCACTTTGAGAGAAGGGGCTGTGTGGACTGGAGTGATTCAGGAGTTAGAAATCCAGGCTTCAGAAACCAGTTCTATACCTGAGAGGTATAGAACCTGAGGTGTTTGAGAAGAAGCCTGTCAGCATTTTGCAGGCTACACCTTATTAACGTATTCAACTAAAGTCCTTCTTCAGGAGTTGCCTTTTTGTTTTCCCTCTTGTCGTATGATTTGATTCTGGATGATCTTTGGTTCCCACACTGCTCTAAGTTGCTGAGGACAGACAACATGGCCAGATGTGCTCTGAGGAGCATTACCAAAAGCAAGGCTGGTGTACCTCGCTTGGGCCCGTATAGCTTTCTACAGTTTGCCAGTTCAAAAGGTGACTTTCACAAAAATGTCTGATGTAGATTCCTGTCACATCTTGCCACTTGTCAGGTGTAACCAACTTCCTAAGATCTCTCAGGAACTTTTACCAAGCATAGTTTCTCTTTAGGTGCTTGGGACACTGTTGAAATCTTCCTTTTTTCCCTAGCAGACTAGAATTTTTATGGGGCTTGGTGTCTTATATAGAAGGGGATAAGTACTAGCGAGTGTTGGTGTTTTCCTTGCAGCATAATGAGGTCTCAGGTTCTTTCTGCTCCTACCCTTGACACCTATTCAAGAGCAAAAGGCTTAGTAACCTATGTCTCTTCTTCCAATCTGACATGCTATACTCTCTTTAAATATCAAAATGGTATAAACTGTGGAGAAGATTTTAAAGAGAAATACTCACTGAAATTTATACTACAACACATCCTCTTAGTCTTCTGCCCTATATGTGCCAGAAGTGAAGGAAACTAATCTGTGAACCTCTCTGTAGTTTTAGGGAAAATTGAGCCTAAAGGAAGATGGAAACCTCACTAGGCCCAGTATTTTGAAATAGCTTTGAGTGGCTTGTGCAAGCTGAGAAAAGGAGCCCATATTTTCTCTGCTGTTCTTGTGCTGTTACATAAAGGCAAGTAGGTTATACAATAGCTAAATGGGGATTACAAAACTGAGCTCCATAAATCTAAATAAGAAACAGAATGTCTGTCCTGCACTGGACAAAGATAAAAATGGGGAAGAGTGAAACTCTGGTCCTAATGAAGTTAGTGGTAAAGCTCTTGCTTACTCTGGTGAGATCACAGTTTCATCCAAAACCTTGGCTCAAGCCTGTAGTTGGCTGACCAGGCTGGATATATAAAGCATAAAGTGTTAAGTTTTTCCAAGTACTGGGATAAAATGACTTCTACTTTTTTTCAAGCTTTTTGCCTATAATCAAGAAGTGCTGAAATTATTTTAAGACCAGGTACTAAGCAATCACTTGTAAACCTGAACTGGAAGCCTAAAAAGACCCTGCCTGATATATTATCTCTGAATGCAAGAACAAATATCAACAATGTAATTCTTCCCAGGCTTCGGTGTCAACACCTAAAAGCAGTGAAAGCTACTTTAAAGCATTACCTGGGTATCTTAGAGTAAGATAGGAAACCCTGACCTGTGGGGGTAGGAAATCAAACAATAAACCTCAGATATCAATAAAACAAATAAAAGCCCTTAATAAACTTGAGACCTAAGCTCTGCAAATAAATAACTTCTTGAAAGGATCTTTTATGCTATAAAGATTGCAGTGCAGCAGTGTTGCTGGAGCTGTTTGGCTCGCAGACCAAACCAATTACTTGACAGTTGTTTAACTTTGGCCTGGGGTGTAGAGCACTTCTGGGTAAGAAAAGCCATTGCAGTTTCTTCATGTCCCTGGGCTTGTCTGGTCTGACTATGGAAAGCTATTGCTGTTACTTTGGATGCTAGCATGTACCTCAGGACTTCCCCCACCTACAAGATTCCTGCATGATGAGAAAGACAGAAAAAGGGGAAGAAAAAAAGGAAAGCTTGTGCAATCAGAGCCACACATCACATGTATTCCCAGTCCAAGGGTTACTTCTCTCCCGCTCTTCCCTGAAGCATCTCTTAACAGCTGAACTGATTCAATGCAGAATGTCATTAACAATCTAACAGTGCACAATGACTTGGGATCATCCTTATCTTACAGAAGCAAGCTATAAATAATCATCTTGGGCAAATCTAACATCATGACTGAGTGGCAAGCTCAAAAAAAAAAAGCTTCCAGTGTATTAAAATCCACAAATGATGAACCATTTCTTGCAGAACTCATTGGAATTGTATAAATCTCTCCAATGAGCATCAGATGAAGCTGTCAGGGTGGGGGATGATTTACTTCTCTGTGAGTGATTAAGCCTGAGCAGTTAAAAAGACTTAGCCTGCTATAAGCAATTAGGTATGGTAAGTCAGTGCCATTCCAGTGCAATCACTGACTTAGGCCTGCAAAGGATGCAATTCTCCAGGCAACCATCTGGGAATTCATAAGTGCCTTGATTTTTTCATGACCATCTTCTGACCAGGCCAGATATGTCCCAGAAGGTGTAGGCCAAAACTTCACAGGCTCAGCTGGTACTTCCAACTTTTATCAACTGTGAAATATGGTGGCATGGCATGTAGTTCTGTCCCTCCTCTGCACTAATTATAAACTAGCCAGAACACGAGGCCCCAGAGTAGTTATCCTTTTTGTTTTTCTTACTGTGTAGAACAAACAACTTCCCAACTTGAAGTTTCATATCCATCCATCACTCAGCAAGCTTATGCCACCAGTTTGGATGGCACCATGCTATTTATTTTACATCATCCCCTTTGACATTTGTTTACCTCGTTCTCTCTTCATTTCTGTCTTTCACTAACACCTCTCTACAATTACCTTCCCCACCTTATTTGTTCTCTCTCTCATATCAGTGATTGCATCCTCTTCACACTATTACCTCTTACTTCTGCTTCGTTACAGCCTGGACCTTGCAGAAGCCCTTCTTTTCCTCAAAAATAAGTGAAGACAAGGGAGACAAGAAGGAAAGAAGAGCGATTCTGTATGAGGGACAGTGAGAAATACAATGTACCCCTTAAATTAGCACCTTTGAACACCCTTTGAGAGGTGCTCAGTGATTATCCAGGTTACCCAGAATTTCCTAATCTCCTGCAGTTTCCAGGTCATGAGTGTTGCTCTAAATCTGTGTTTCAGTGGGTAGAAGCTTTGCTTGAGTACTCATGTACAAAATTCAAAGATTAAGCCCAGAGGTACACGAGCAGGTACACTGATGCCAGAGTCTGTACACCACACATGCCTGAGCCAGTTGTCTTCAGGAAGGCCATATGACTACTGAACTTTTACCCCCTTTTGCAGGTAGTTTTTACGCAGCAGGGGGAGTTATTATTCTTTTCCAAAAATCAGCAAAGCATATGTTAAAAAATGCTGCCTCTGACTGTAACAACCTTTGGAAACACGTATTTTTTTGTATATACTTTCATTCTTAAATGTAATGACTAACATGGTAAACACTGAAGTAAGGAACAGAGACACAACTTCAGTCCCAACAAGTGGTGCAAAAATTCAATATGCAAAATCAGATGCAAAATCAAGAAACCTTAGCCTCTGCTCACTGGTATCCTTTAAAACATAGAGGAAGTTATTACCATCCTGTATATGTTTTCAAGCTCTGAAGTGCAGTCATGCTTGCTTTATGTTGATCAAATAATTCAAAGTGCCAGTTTCCAAAATAAGAATATATAAGAGGAATCTGGATCATATGTTTACTAAATACTACGTTTGTGTTTGAAAGGAAAGAAAATTAACAGGGGAGGCTGTTTCTTATGAGCTTTTAAGTGAATCAGCGTTCAATAATGATTTGCAAAGGTGTAGCTTCCTCTACTCTGTCCAGCCTCAGCCAGATGTAGATATAATCTCTTCCCAGGCATCCCACCAATACTGATGATGAGGTGATATTTTCCTTTATTAATACAATCCAAATTGAGTGGCTAAGAAAGTAATAATGAAAAAGGAATATGAAATAAGGAATAGAGAGGCAGATAAAAAACATGTGCTTAAAGATGATGAGTTTAACTTACAGGATAAACTTTAGGGTTTGTAAATTATCAGCTTGGTCATGGATTGCCTTCCCTAAGCCACAAACACCTGATAGGTTCAGTTCCAATCACAAAATTTCAAATCTGATAGCAAGCAGCAAATGGTGTCAACTACGTGACTTACCACATAGCACAAAGACTAGGTCAACAACATCATTAATGCACACAGTTTGTTTATCCCAGCAATCTCAGAAGGTCTTTGCAAAATTCAGGTATCACTTTATGGCAACCAAGCTCAGGCAAAACAGTCAGAATGAAAAAGAGCAATGGGCTACTTTTACTCACTGCAAAACAGTTCTTCAGCATTAAAAAGTAGAACTAAAGCCCTGTCTTAAGGCAGGAAAAGCTTTCAGATGCTGAGTATACAACAACTTCTTACCTAATCTCTTCTTGAGTAAAATAACTGGTCACTGCTGCTGCCCGGTATTTATTTTTCCTTTGATTAACTGGTGCATTATACAACTGCTCCCCAAGTTACCATTTTCGTTTTTCTCAGCAGTATTTAAGAACATATTTTAATAGCTTCAAAGTGTTGGGCCAAATTTGATTACCCACTCTTCCTTTTCATCTGCTGCTTCTTCTTCACTTATGCCAAGCAAACGTGCAAAATTTTTGCCCAGAGAAAAAGACCTTTCTGTGATTTAGAAGCTAAACCCAACATATATAAACAACAAAACTCAACAAACTACTCTGATTAAGTCTCCAAGTTTTCCAAACCTTTTAATTCAGAACCAGGCTCTTCATATGCTGGGCTCTAAATTACCTGACACACAGATGGTTAAGTATAAAAGCAGAATCAGTCACACCAATGGGTAAGAAGACTGAACAAGACCTAGCTTATTACTTATTACAGCAGTTCACTTACCCGGTAGTAGTCTGTGCTGTATACATCTCTAGACATCCCAAAATCCCCAATCTTCACCAGTAGGTTTTCACCAACCAGACAATTGCGGGTAGCAAGATCCCGATGCACAAAGTGCTGTGATGCCAGGTAAACCATACCAGAAGCAATCTGCTGTGCAATGTGAAGCATCTGGGATTGGGTCAGCTCAGCAGGACGGTTGCCTTCTGCCATCAGCCCTGCATCTGGTCCATGTGCCCTGCACCAAAACACAATCTCATAAACGGATAGGCCACTTGTAAGATGGAGAAGTGAAAGGCGTCAGCCCACAAACTCCATCAAATGTGCTATAAATTCCTTAGTGAAATAGGAAAAATTTTTTGTCTTGGCTTTTTTCATTTACTATTTTCCTTCATTGGTGAAAGATAGGTTGTCTGAAGAACATTACAAATGGGACATATATTACTCAAGGATATAAGGCATACAGGTTCACAATAGTACCCATCTGTCAGAAAGCATCACCTTTCTCCTGTTCCATTCTAGTAATCTTTTCTGGAGAAAGGCTGACAAATGAACCTGCTTGGGAACCAAGAGAAAATCTTATCACTCTATAAGACTGAAAGACAATTGAGGGAAAGGCAATGAAGTGGCATGCATAGCATCACTTTTCCTGTGACTGGCATTCCTTGATTTCTGCAGGGATGTAGACCATTGACCCTTCCATTTTTTCTTAAACAAGAAAGAGCTAACTTCCTTCTCCATTTGAGAAACAAGGGCAGCAATTTTAAATTTATACTTCTAATTTCCTATCCAAATACACAGCAGGAAAGGATTTTTGCTTATTTCATCAGCAAGGGTGAGTCCTGCCTGAGACTGGAATTCCTGACAATAGGAACAGGACACAAGACATACATTATTTGTAAAAATAAAACAGCTTCAGAAATATGAGTTTTTCAAGACCTGGCAAGTCCCTAAAAAGAAGCAGTCAACTGATTAATGAGAATACTTTTGTGCACTTCATCAAAACCAGGGATATTTTACATTAGGAAAGCCCAGCAGAGTACTGGGACACATGAGCTTTACTCATCTCAACTATGTGAGGTCTGGTATGCCTGTACATCCTAGTATGTCGAAGATACAGATATAAACATTCATATGAACAATGTTTTACAGGAAGAACTACTAGCTAATCCTTATCCAATCAATGAAGTAATCTGGCAACCACTCCTCATTTGATACATCTTATAATGTTCTAAATATCCTTTTTCATCCATTCTATTTTTCTTTATTTTCAGAAGCCCTTTTTATTCCAGTCCTGAAAACTATTCTTTCTAAGAGACCACCTCTCCTCTTCCCTCCTCAACAGAGATGAGGCCTTAATTTTTCTCTAGGGTAAGGGCACAGGAGTTTGGAAAAGAGTTGCAAATTAATCAAAATCTGTGAGATCAAATCTGACACTACCAATTAGAAATATGATATTAAAATTGCCCCAAGGGAAGAATTTCATGAGCAAAGTGACAGATGTTAGTAAGAAATGAAGGAGGGTGTGTAGCATTGATGGGACTGTATCTGGTGCCAGGCAAAGCAGCTCTCTGCCATAGGGTATGCAGCCATTCATCTGGTCTAGGTTGATGGGTGTGGGAATAAATGGGAGGATATGAAATCTCCATCTAGAACTCACATGCAAATTCCTGATGAAAAATATTGTACCTTTATCATGCATGAATTTTTTCATTAGTATTCTCAGACATGAACCTCTGAGGTGACAAATTAGAGAACTTTGTATCTTTTGCTAGTGTCCCTGAGGACCAGGTCTGTATCTAATGGAATTTGTAGATTATTCCTAACATTCCCTCCAGCTTGCTTGTCTGTTTGGTGCTGGCCATAAATGAGGTGATCTTCAGTGTCTGCAACAGCCAGGGACATTGACAGATATTGTCTGCAGCCGCATCATCCACTAGTCCACAGACCACGCACAGGGCAGGTATGAGTGTGAGGCTTTAGTCCTAGATCTGAACAGCCTTTGGCTGCATGCAGGCAGCCAGGCTCATTTGGGTTAAATTTTCAGATCAATTTTTCCCCAGCAGCCTTTGGTGGCGCTGCAGGGTAAGAAATATGGAACAGCCCACTTTGCTGTGAGCCTCTGGTCTGCAGCACAAGCTGCAGAAAATGTGAGAGGAATGACAAATTGGAGCTTATGTTTAACAGCTTGTCCTAGCATAATAATTTTATGTTCTAAAGACAAGGGCTGATTAATAGTCTTTTAAAAAGTGAAGGCCTTAAAGTAGCAAATATACTGTCTGCTGAAATACTTTTCTGTACAATAATTCAAAATCAGAGTTAGAATATAAGAAAAAGCCAATCAAAAAGAATCAAGGCATAAGTATTTCTTATGGAGTAAGAAATTATTTCTCATCATCTGAGAATCTGGCTGCTTCTGATGGAAATTCTGATGAAAATTTACGAGGATGGCATCTAGGGAAACAGCGGTTCTCTCCTAATGCACATCAGAAGACCAAGCAGACAAATGTAAATGCCTTTAATTCTTAAAAATACCTAAATTCTTTGCCAGAGAGCCAATCAGTCTGGAAAGAATAGTCGTGTTTGCTCTGCATCTCCAGTATCAATAACAGTATCTCCCTTGTGATATCTATTGATAAAATTACACAGTAGACATTGAAAGAACAGCCTCATATTTTTAACATAGGAGCAAATGCCATCTCTTTTAAAAACTGTTTATTTTTATGTCAAAAACTGTAGGCTGGTAGAAATGGCACATATATGAGGCCTCTGTTCATAACTTCCTGGATCATGGGTTACCTGTTACTGTGAATCTTATGTAGCATCTATTTATTTGTAACTGCTCTACTGCCAAATTTCAATTTCCTATGCACATTCCTGAATAGCTTTATGAAATAAAGCCCTAATCTGGACCCCAAAGTGTAGCATTTTCCAATTCACAGAAGTTTCCATGGCTCACAGTTTTCTTGCTGCAGATTTATAGCATTCTTTCCAAAACACTGAGAGGAGGGAAGAGAAAAGGGGTTAGGCTTCAGAAGCTCTTTGACGCCTACAGATAGCAATAGATGTTGAGTGGGATCTTCCAAGTGCTACCAGAAAGCCTGTAAGAAAATCATTCCTACTGTAGGATCTGTAACCAAACATTTCAGAATACACTGAAAAGTATTGGAAACAATATTTCTTTGGTACAAATCTTGATTTAATGGTACTTCCAAGCAGGCAAAGAAACAGAGTCCCACATCCCAGTACAAAAGACAAGAGTCATACAATTTGTTTTCCTAGGTGTCAGCTTTTTCCAGTGGTAGTTGCTAATTTAACATTAAGTACCAGTAACACCTACCTTCTCTGCTCACTTATGGCTCAGGATCACAATATATGTTCATGGATTTACCTGAGGAATTTGTTAAGATCTCCATGCTTCATATACTCAAAGACCATGATGAGTGGATCACCCTCAACACAGACACCATAGAATTTGACAATGTGCTCATGTTGCAGGTTAGTTAGCAGTTCTGCCTCACGGTGGAAGTCCTTACGGGCATTATCACTGGCATCCTTCAGTGTCTGGTGGAAAAAATGAAAATGTAAGGAAGGACAGATGTTTGCAGAAGGTAGGGAACATGTGGAATAGCCCTGTACGGGTAAGATAAGGACATGGTACAGCACAGAGGATGGAGGAAGTACTTTCTTAATAACTCTTTTAGAAATGCAGATGTGATCCCGAAGTGTAATTAAATAACGGCAGTACAATTTTCATTCTCCTGCCACATGTTATCCCAAACAAACACTTCTCTTGTAAGATAATGTATGAATACTCATGCTTTCGCTGTGACAAGTGTTTTCCAAACACAGAACAAATAAACTGATCTCATCCCAAAAATATATTAGTACACAGCTGGTTTGTATCCTTGAGCATTTAACTCAAGCAACTCCTAGTATCCTGCTGGTATTTACCTTTCTTGATCGTTCTTTAAAATAAAACTCTACTTGTTTAAAATATATAGTGGTAATGTGAAGGCATTCTTTATGTACTGCTGATGTTAGTCCCTGTGGTGTGCTGTACATTAGGTAGATTTATATGAGAGTATGTCCCCGGACCAGAATAACCTGAGACTTCAGCCAGAAACTTCTTTGAAATCCTGTAAATCTACTCACATGACTAAGATTAGGCATATGTGCAAGTATCTGGAGGTCAAGTCCTAAAGTGATAGACGTGGAGGAAAGCAGATGCACAGAGGAATTCTGGGGTGTCACTGGATCAAATAGGAGGCTTAAATGTTGTATAATGAAATAATAGTAATTTAACTGTCACACATAAGCAGTTTCTGATTTCTCCTAACAAACTACATTTCACGAGGAAGAAAACGCTTTCATGCACAAATAAAAGCAAGTTCTGACACCAATTAAATGAGGAATAATTATAATTGGCAATAAACCACTAATAGACTCTGTAGTCAAGAGGTACAGTGGTTGCGCTGTATTAATTCAAAAAATATTTCTAAAACTGCAAGAGAAAGATGGCAAGTTACCAATATTCACAATTTATTCTTCACAGAAACTGCTGTCTGGGCTCTGTACCTCTGTATTCAACAATACCTACGTTGAGTATAATGGAAGATAAGACACAAAAGTAGTGGCAGTGTTTTAACAAAAAAAGCCTTTCTCCTGGCCATCTAGTCACTTTACTTTCTATCCTGAATTAATATATAGAGCATGGAACCAACCACATTCACCAGAACAGAAACAGAATAAGTTGTTCTTATTCTGTCCAATTGTTCTGCCAACAGAGTTTTTAGCTGCAGGAGCCATGGCTTGTTCAAGCTCTTTCTTCAACAGGGATAATTCTGTCCACATTTCTATTATTATATGCATGCATGTGTGAAGAAGAGCCTAGAAGATGACTGTTGGAAAAAACTTTACTTTAAAATGCTTTACTTGTGATACTGCAGTCCTGGGTCTTGAAAAATGAATTGCTACCATAATAAAATTCAGATGGGAGGACAAGGAGTAGGGCAGAATGGATTGCTTTCTTTCAAGTTCAGGGCTTTTTCCCTGTGGATTTTAGGCTCTGTGGATCTTAGAGGCAAAAGAAATCACTCATGCCTTAGATGTCCCTTCCCTGAGGAATGTACTTATGAATCTTAACATGCCTTCAGGCCCCGAATCCTTTTTCCATAAGCTTTAGCAATGATGCAACAAGGATATTGCCTCATCAAGGCTTCACTACCCACGATATGTTAGTATACACAGCTGTATCATGGATATCAAATTTGCTTCCCACTATGATCTACACACGATCACAGCTGCAGTGGGTGAGGACTGGAATTGAAGTGTTTTCCAATATTCTAGGCTCTGGGATGATGCTTTAACATGATACACCCACAGTCCAGTGTATGCTATATGTACTGAAATCACTGGTAATAATTCTGTTGTCACTTGAGTTTCCTCTGGTGGTTTCATATATGAAGTGATTCAACTGTTATTCTTCTCAACAACAGAATTAGAAAAACAATTAATGCAAGACCCATTTTAAATAATAGCAATCTGGAAAAAACTGACAGGGAGAAGCAGAGGCTGATCCTCTTTCCAGCAGGCTCCTTCCCTGGAAAGACAGTAAAAATGCTGACAGTTCTGTCCTGTGAGGATGGCATATTGTATATTTGAGAAAATGCTTTTTATCTCACAGAAACAGAAAAATTATCATATGACAGAGCAGTTGCCATGGCAATTCCATATTTTCTGTCAAACAGCAAAATGCAGAAAACTCTACAACTCAGGTGAAACTCAGGCAGGGTTTCTACTACTATGGGTTGACTAGAATTTCTGTCACCCGCCATTGCAAAGTCTCCTTTTCATTATTTCATGCAGTGCATAGAATAGACACAATGCATGAGAGAGAACTAGCACAGTCAGGCAAGGAGGAGACTGGAAGGTAAAAAAAAGTAATAAGCATGTAGAATTTACATAGAAATGACATTGACTAATGCATTTAGCTTGTTCTCAGTACAAGAAAAAAGGCAAAAAAACCAAAATAAACCTCTAAGAGCACAGAGAGAGGAAAGACATATTAATTATTATTATCATTACTGACAAGTATACCAAAGCTCTGCAGACAAAGCACTTTCACCAGTTGACAGGAGGTTTTCCCAAGTAGGATCTGGGATTCTATCACATGTGCTTTCCAGCCACTCAAGCCCACAGTTAAAGAGGAGAGACAAGCTTCCTTGGGAAACAGAGGGGCCCCTGGCTCTTATAGGAGCTCCACATCTGCCAAGTTCATCGTTGTGTCAGCTGGACCACCACCCCACACTTGCTGTCTTTCACAGAGTCCTTGTCCAGCTATCAGCACTCCATGTGGTGTGTGCTGCCCTGTGCTCTGCAGCGAGTGTGAGCTCTGACACCACTCTGACAGCACAGGGCACTTCACGGGCAGGTCAGAGCAAGAGCAGGAGGATGGGGCTGCCGTCACCAACATCAGCAGGACTTGGCAGCCAAACTCTCAAGACAGCTACATGACTACTACTACGACCTTTTACTATTTCAGCCTTCCCCTACAAAATAATTGCTACTGCTTCCCATCCACATATGAGAGCTGACTGGTATGTCTTCTCAAGAAATGAAGGGGTAGTTTCCAGCCTTCTCAGAACTGAAGGTCTGAAGAATTGGAAACCTTTGGTTTTCCTGTGCAGGTGCCATGGAAATGTTCTTGATCTCACACACACAGCAGTCTGCTAGCTGAGCAAAACCTTCCAGGGGAGCCAGAGGAAGCTGCTAACCTGTGCCTTGTCAGCCTCACCTCCTGCTCTGGAGAGGCTACACTAGCGTGAGACTATGCCTGGGGATCCAGTCCTATGAGGAGACAGTAGTGAGCCAGGCCTAACCAAACAAAATGGGCCCTCAAGAAAACAGAAATTTGTCCTTCCTCCACCCTCTGTTCTCTAAAAGTGTCTGCAGCAAATGGTGTCCTGATATAATGTGCTATGGGGGCAATGCTAGTACAATGCCCAGGTTTTGTCCTATGGAAAGTATTTCTAAATACTCTGTGTTGCCCCCAAAAAGCTTACACTAATAAAAACAAATTTAAACAACTCGCTTTTCTCCTCTTTAAAGGAGCAAAGCCCAGACTCTTTGGTATTTTATGCTAGGCGTGATCTTTTTTATCTTCCCAGATTTTTCTGGGCCTCTTAGCTCCTAAATAATTTGCTGCAGCAATGTCAGCATTTTGGATACCAGCTGGATGATAAGAAGAGAACATACTGAGTTAGAAGGAGGGATGCTCAGGACCAGGCATAAGCCATACAGTTTTCCAGCAACTGGCAGGCACAGGGAGCTGACAGGGACCACTAGCCAATCTGACCCCCATTGTGCAGGTGAGGCCGTGCCTCCTTTCTACCAAAATCTCCTTACTCTTCAGCAAGTAGCTATTTCCACTGCACTCACCAAATTTATTTTATAGTGATGGGTGGTTTTGCCCACAGGGCTGAAGCTCTTTAAAGCCCTTGTTGTGTGTTAGGAGGAGCTGCTCTTTGCTGCTGGCATCCAGGTCTGACCCTCTAGGACTAAAACTGCCAAATCCTGTGCTAAGGGATGGGGTCCAGACACACTCCTGCACTGAAGTGCAGGACAACTCTCTGCACTCCAGTGGAGGCCCCATTCCTTGACCTCCACTGTGAATGAGGGATGTCTGCTATCTGTGGTTGGTAACCACAGTGAAAGAGACAAGCATAAGGCAATTAACCCCTCAGTTATATGAGGATGAATCCAGTGGCTCAGTTCACCAAAAAATTTGCTCTGTGACAACAGCCAGAGTCACATATTTAAGAGCCAATGACAGAAACATAAAATGGGAATAACCTGGTCCCAGAGGTAATTCTTCCCACAGCTGCCTGCAAGATTAAGGATGCTATAAAGAGAGGATTTGGTGGGAAAAAAAAAAAAAAAAAAAAAAAAAAAAGAAAAAAGGTATAACAACTTGCCCAGAAAATGGATAGATTTGTCATCTAGGTCTATGGAGCTATGGAGACATATGTACCTTTAAAGGCCGAATGCTCTTCCTTTTGATTTACACTGAGAATGAGCAGCAGAGTGGAAGTGCAGTGCAGCATTTAACAGCAGAAGTGCTAGGCTCCATTTGGAGAGGACTTTCAAAAAGAGCAAGTGAATGGAAATACTTTTATTTTGCTATCAAGCAGTTCCCTAAAGTGATACAGGAAAGGCCATTTCCATTATAGCTTCACCAAAATACAACCAAAAATTCATTCAGATCTGTTTTTTTCATCTCCTGTCTTTTGCTTTGTCCTGTCTATGCTATATCCCTTCAGGGTGTAATTTTTTTCTCACCAGTCAACATGACTGAACTACTCTCAACTATCAAAAAACGTATAACCTTGGCAAACCCAAAAACCTGCTATTTTTGATGGAGCAGTCTACAAGACTATCCTCCTTCCATGTTCTTCCACTGTCAGATTCAAGACTCTATTTCTTGTTATCAAATTCAAAAATATGATCTATATGATTCCTTTTACTGTATGGTCTCATCCAAAATGCAAACATGGTTGCCTAATTGGGACCTGTCAGACAAAATTATTTTCTGGTCACTTGGTACAGCCCAGATTCTGGACATCTATTCCCCTGAACCTAATGAGATATTTCAAATGCTGGACACTTTAATTTTTTTGGCAGAACACTAAAGATGGAGATAAGAGATTGGTTTCAGGGAAAGTTTTCAAACTCTGAGAATGTAGTTTCACCAATACTGCTTCTAGCTACATCCACAGCTAAAGTCAACAGCTAACCTCAGCTCTTGAATTTTGAGGGACAAAAAGGGCTTCGTGCAGAGAAGCAGGCTTTATCTCCAAGCTATATTAATGAAAACACAGACAATTTCAGTTGCTGACAAAAAGAATGGCACAGTCCTGAAACAGAAAGGTGTTCATTGCCTAACAATTATACACATGACCTATTCACTTAGTTAGTAACAGATTATTTTTTAGGCACACATAAATATCACATGCATTTTTAATGACCTAGACATTATTTTTCACTAATTGTACTTCAGATAGACCATGAAAGATTTTGCCCCCTCATGATGCAATCTGTATCCTTTCTTTTCCTTATGAGATTCAGTTCACATTTTATAATCTACAGCAAGATCAAATACTAAATTCTCTTAACACTCCATTAGCCTTGTGAAATTTTCTACACGTATCAGAACAGTTACACTGGATTATGGAATAGGCAAACACGATCATTGACAAATAAAACAGCATTAGTTGCAACCATGAATTAATAATGGTAACCCTAGACACTTTTACCTTCACTGCCACCAAGATCTTGCCCTGCTCAGGACACAGGTTATAGCATTCTGCCAGAAAGACTTTCCCAAAGGCTCCTTCTCCCAGTTCTCTTTTAAGAACGATATTGTGGCGCTTGATGTGATGCACAACTGTGAAAAGAAGACAAAATAGAGGTCAGAAGGAAACTGCAGGATGGGATGGAACCCATGGTTACAGCCACATGGAGATAGGATTGCCTGTAAAGCACGGAAGGAATCAAAGAGCCCACATGTCATTTTTTACCACTTTCTGCAAAAAGATTGAGTTTATGCATGTGTATTTGGAGGGTAGTGCATTTTCTGGGTAAGAAGACAAGGAATTAGGAGTCAGCTGGGAACAGGCCATTTATCATCATGTTAGGGTGATTGCTGCAGAGCATACCTAAGAGCCAATGCTACTTTAAAAAAAAATTAAGACAGTGAATCAGAAAACAAACCAAACCTTTCTCACACTTTTTCTACTTTTGTACCTTTAGCAATAGCAGAACTCTCCTGCACAAATCCAAAAAGTTTTAAAATAAACCTAAACCAAGAAAACCAAATGTGTCCTCTTTCAACTTAATGCAACTTAACACTGGGCTTACCACTCGTAAGTAAACCACTGCTTTCCACATTGTGCTACACTATAGTTACAAAAGGATAAGAAATTTTGGTCTCACAGACATGATTTACAGTATTGATCTGAAGTAAAAGAAACAAAAGATGGACAAAAGTTTTAGTCCACATAGCAGACAGAAGCTTAGTTCAATTGCTGGCTGGAGTGAATTGATTCAAACATTTAAGCCCATGAATATATATTTACTTATTTTACATTCTCCTTTCAGCAAAAGCTTCCATTAAATCTTTAATATTTAAAAAATACTGTACTAAATTTTGTAGACTACATTATCAATTTACAATGTTCAAGCAAAATAAAGCAGTTCTAAGGGCAGTGTAGCTGCCAATAGGGTAGACAGCTTGTGTTGCTGAAACTGTACAATCCAGACAGCATCTGCTGATGATTTTAACCTCATGCACTTAGCCATCTTTGCAAACACTGAAATTTAACCCTGCTTGGAAGAAGCCCATTTGCAACCTAAATTCTAAACACAGTGAATTAAATAGCAGTGTACAAGCATCAGGCTGCCTTCTGCAAGGGTGAAAATCTCACCTTGGCTGCTCAACTTCAAGGACCAGGACTGAACCCTGCCAATAATTTAGGGTGTAACCAGATGCAGACCAGCACCTCTCTTGGTCAGGAGAAGTGCTGATGCTAACATCGGTAGGGAGAAATGGCACAGTCCTTCCCTATTCCTGTCACCAGCATTCGGAGAAAAGGACCATAGTCTACAAGAGAAGAAAATGTGTGTCCCCACCCTAAGCAACCTAACATGAGCACACTGCATGTAAATACACTTCATATCCATGTGTGTGGACATGAGGAACCTGGTGCCGGAGCAGGCTCGGAGGGTGAGCAATCCGTCACGCCTCTGCTGTCATGAGGAGGGCAGCACACCCAAGGATCAGATCTCCACCACATCCAGCTGGCACCTGCTACAAGATCCTTGGCCAGCGTCCAAGTAGGACCCTGTACCTTGTTATAACAGTGGGGAAGGCTGGATTCTCCCCATGACCCACCAGACTCACCAGGCTTTGCTGTTTTTCCCGCAGCTGATGGCTGCAGGGGGGATATTCACAGCCTCCTTTTCCAGTGCCAAGTCTTCCAGGAGAGGCCATATGTCCCATTAGGTACACATGAAATGAGACTGCAAAGTACCTACATTTTTTACTCTTGTCACACACTGGTCTAGCATAAAATTAAGTTTTGTCACGGTGATGCTTTATTTGGCCAGCTACCTTAGGAAGTCCCTTGCAGTCAGGATGAAGTTGCTTTTTATTTTCATTTCCTCCTCAGTACTGGCTTTGCAAGAAAGGCTCAAAATGCAGTCAGCACAAGATAGGCCTGAACCAAAACACACCTTTTCCCCATGGACACAAGTTAACCAGCATCGCTGGCCTCTGCTAACACTGGCTATGAGGCAGACCAGCAGAACTGAAGGACTGCTGCCCTGGCACACCACCTGAGCTCCAGAGCGTGGCACATCTCGTCCCCTGAGCTTTAAAAATGCTTGATAACAAATGAGTACTACCCTCTATCCCCTAAATAACTTGCCATCAACCCTGCCTCTTGGGGAATTCTCTTTCCCTCTGCTTTATTATTATTGCCAGGAGGATGCCTCTCTTCCTTTCCCACAGGGGAAAGAAAGCAAAGCCAGTTTTTCATTTTTTTCCTGCCCACAGTTGCCCAAGACTTGTTGATGAAGACAGTCTGAATTTTGTGTAGGTTCTCTCCGTTTTGAGCCCATTGTACTGCTAATGCTGGGCCTAGCAGTACAAAGGAGCTTTTTATGAAACTCTTGGAGGACCTTACAAACAATAGAGTAAAAATAAATAAGAAACATATTCAGTACTTCTCTGTAGTACACTTAAATCTGCTGTTAAACAGCCTTATATAAACCAAGCATTTGAATAAACAATACATCCCATAAACCAAACTGCGAAAGCTGAAACACAGCAAGGCGCGGAAGAGGTCTGCACAGAATGTATTTACAACTTGTTATATTCTATCCATTCCTGTTACCTTTTTGAGCTGCGCCGAATAACTAAACAAATAAGAAATGACAGTATGTATGACTAAATGGGCAGAGATTAAACGTAATAACAATGTAAGTAAATCAAACACAAATGATGTGACGGATATATGAGCTCAGGAAAAAATCCGTTTAACACACTCAGAGCCTCAGCCATAACGACATCGTCTTCAGGAGGAGGATACTTGAGCAGCAGATACACTGGAAAATTCAGGTCAAAATATGCTTTCAGGTACTATCAGGATAAAGCAAATTACCTCTGCTAAAGTCCAAGAGATTATCCTGGATTTACATTGAAGAAACAAAGCAGAATTTAGCCAAAGAGGTGACATAAACAAAGAAGTTGTCTCATAGCGCTATCTCACAAGAAAAGGTACCCAAACATTCAAATGACAGCTATGTATTTTCCTCCTTTTGATTCTAAATGGCAATTGCATTTGACCTGCCATTTGTACTTTTAAGAACATATAATCTCTGGTTTTAAATCTTAACTGATTACTGTAAAAAAATACGTTCCATTGAGCTAAAAGCCACACTGAGTTGAAACACTTCAGAGAGAAATGAAATATAAAATATGAAACAAGACAAAACAAATTAAAGAAGAGTAAATGCTGTAAAGAGGCTATATTAAAATAAAGCCATACCCTTAAAATCAGGGGGCTTTCACGGATGACTTCAGAGAACCAGAGGGCAACAGGGGGTATAACTGCAGACAAAGTCTCTCTTCTCACTTCATGATCTCAGAAGCATCTCACCAAAAGAGTTGGACCTTTAGTTATTTCACTCACTAGCAGACAGTATGTCACACTGGAAATGATGCAATACATATTTCCAGGTATGGGACTGTGCTCCCCTGCTAACCTACCTTTGATGGTGAGGCTGAACAGAGAGGTCACACCACATTCTGGAATGGGTTCCAGCAGAACAGGCGACTCGGATCAACTCATCACATTGAATTCCTTGAGCTGGACACAAATTAATCCAGCCAGGGACAGCAAGATACACAGCAGTATAAATTATTAACGGGTTTTTTTGCTCATATTTAAAAAATGAAAAGGGACAGAGTGAAAGTGTTTTGCCTCGGTCACAAACAATAGGTCTTAACATTTTACCACCACATGTGACCACTACACCATCTAAGCTGACCTTCTAAACTATACGGAGCATAATATTGAGCTGAATGACTTGTATGTGGCAGAAGACTGTCTCCAGAAAGAGACTGTGCCAGTCTTCATTTAAAAGTCCGAATTCTTCACTTGCTTTCATATATAATAATTTCATTGCTAGAAAAATGCATGCCTTTTTCTTTGTCTCTTAATCATTAACTTGTCTGGCTTGCATCTCCCTCCCTTGGTCTTTAGGGGACTTTTTGGGATCGTTTTAGCAGCTTTTTCAAGTTTGGTATTAAATACATGTAATCAACACCCTTCTTGCCCTTCTTGGTGAGGCAAAGAGACAGAAGTTCCCCACCCTAGGAAAGCATTTTCTCCAGTTCACCAGTCATTGTCTTGACTTTTCCCTGAAAAATTTTTAAACATCCTTTTAAAAGAAGTTGTTTCCAGTTGATTTTTCCCAACTCAAAGCCACTCTCCACAAAGGTTGTGATAAAAACATAAAATCAGCTCCCTATAGCTCTTCACATCCATAGATTACGCTAGTCCTTTTAAGGCTGGATTTCCTAAGGAGCACAAAAGTTAAACACTTATGTGGTATGCATGTGAGTGTCTCATCTTAAAGACCTCACCCAATTACAATATCACAAATGTTGTAGGTTTCAAATGTGTTCCCATCTACCTCATGAGAAGAGCGAGGAGATTTATGGAGAGACTGAAACATGGACTCACTGATGGACCATAAACAGACAGCAGCTGACAGACATCACCGCCACACTGAGCTACCAGTGCTGTAAGATCCTTTTGTGCTGCATGCCCACTTAAATCATCTTCTGAGTCTGCTTCTGAGGATACTGTTCAAAATTTTGCTAGTGGTACATATGTGGGAGAGTCCTGATGAAATTTGTCGTGCCAGTACTCAAAGAGAATGAGGACCTTCAAGATGCCAAGAAACCAGGCAAGGTGATATAAACATACCCACAGCTGCATAAGTAAAAGGCAGTGATAGAAAAGACTCAGCTTGTGATGTGACATAAGGTTCCACAGAAAGACGTTTTCCAAATGTCTTCATTTCTTTTCCCACTATTTCCATCAAAATTGTGGACTGAACTATTTCTAGAACCTTGCCAGAAAAAAACAGGTGCAAATGGCCAAGTAATTGTTTAAACAGTCTATCAAATTTGTACAGCATTTGCCTCTCACAAAAAAGAAGCTTCTGCTGGAATCCTATAGCAGAAGGATACAAATTCACTACAAAGAGCACATGGCAAGTCTAGACTGATGGCCATGAGATTATGCAACAGCAGGATGTCTGCAGGTTCTACAAGCTATTGCCAGAATAGAAACTTTGGCTTATGCATCTTCCTGA